GTGCCTGTATCCCAGCACTTTGGGAGGCCAAAGTGGGCAGATCATGGCGAAAGCCCGTCTCTCCTAAAACTACAAAAATTAGCCGGGCATGGGGGTGGTGCCCGGAATCCGAGCTACTCAGGAGGTTGAGGCAGAGAATCGCTTGAACCCGTGAGGTGGAGGTTGCAGTGAGCCGAGATCACACCAGTGCACCCCAGCCTGGGCCACAGAGCAAGACTCTGCCTCAAAAAAAAAAAAAAAAAAAAGCAAACAAACAAAAAACAGGCCGGGTGCAGTGGCTCACGCCTGTAATCCCAGCACCCTGGGAGGCCGAGGTGGGTAGATCACGAGATCAGGAGATCGAGCCCTGTGGGTAACCCCCCATACAGGCACCGAGGAATGAGAGCTAAGCAGAGCCCTGGCACAGTTAGGGCTTGAGGAATATCTCACTTTATAGTGTTACTACTCAGCTATTTCCTTCTGTATTTCCTTTACATAATCATATATTAGTTTATAGAAACAGGGCTTGAAGTCTCCCTTTATATAATCCTGTATATATAATCATATAACAGTTGATAGTATGAGTGCCTAAAGAATATTTCCCTACATATATACCTATAATTATATCTTAGTTCATAATCGGAGGAATGCCTAGAGTGGACACAGTGCAGAGCATGATTTAAGGGAAAACAGTTACACCAGGACAAGAATCCGTGGCCCAGGCGGCAGCGTTCAGTATCGGAAAGATACCCGCTGTATGGCAGGCTTGGGGCGAGAGCCACTCCTCCTGATAAAGGAGTTGTAGGACCTTGCTCCAGTTCTTGCAGAAGGCTGCCCTCAGAATGGCAATCCACCTTGGTGACTGAACTTTATCAGCTCTTGCTACTGTGCTGCTCGAAAAGCATCTTCCCATAGAACCCATTGGAAGCTGCCAGCAGGTGGCGGTAACCCTGGCAGCTCTGTCACTACTGTGTGACTTAAAGCATCCTCCATAAATCTTCTTAGAAGTAGCTTGCCCATAGATAGAGGTATTGCGCACTGCACCCTCTTCACTGCGCACGGCCCACCTTCGAGCCTCGGTGACCTAATGGGGGTGGACCCCTTACTGCACACGGCCCTTGCCTTCGTGGGAACGGGCCCCTTGCTGCGCGCTGTCCACCTCCTAGCCTAGGTGACCTAATGGGGGTGGACCCCTTGTTTTCTTGCTTGCAACCCTATCACTATCCTTAGAGATGATTTCACTCACTGCCCTGCCCCCTAAACTGAACACAATAAATACTCACGCTTCTGGACATTCAGGGCCTCGCCAGCCACTCGCCGGCCTCGCCTGACTCCGCTTATAGGTGGCGTGGCCCCCCGAGCCCAGCTGCATTTTCTTTGTACTTCTGTGTCCTGTCTGTTTACTTCTCGGATCCTGCACCTCAGCACAGCATAAGGCTCACCCCACGACCCTGAGGGGCAATCAGCCCTACAGAGCCCATCCTGGCTAACACCATGAAACCCTATCTGTACTAAAAATACAAAAATTAGCCAAGCATGGTGGCACGCGTCTGTAGTCCCAGCTACTTGGGAGGTTGAGACAGCAGAATCGCTTGAACCTGGGAGGCAGAGGTTGCAGTAAACTGAGATTATGCCACTGCACTCCAGCCTGGGCAACAGAGCAAGACTCCATCTCTTTTTTTTTTTTTTCCTATAAGATGGGGTTTCACCATAATGGCCAGGCTGGTCTTGAACAACTGACCTCAGGTGATCCACTCACCTCGGCCTCCCTAAGTGCTAGGATTACAGGCGTGACCCACCGCGCCCAGCCAAGACTCCATCTCAAAAAAAAAGATATGGGGCATTTCTTCACCACATATTTTTTTCTGTTTCCGTTTCTCTTTCCTGTCGTGTTGGAGTTCCTTGTGTGCACACGCTAGACCTCCTTCACCTCTGCTGAGCTCCCAGTGGGAGGATCCAGGAAGGGTGGGCTCCCTCTGCAAGGAGGGGCGCAGCACAGCCTCAGTCCCCTGGGCCGGGCCAGCCCAGGCACACTGCCGAGGGATGCCTAGGGGAGCCCTCAAAGCAGAGAGCAGCTCTTAGACCCCAGCCCTGGCAGCCATCTGTCTGTCACCTTTCACCCCACCCCTTGGAAGGGACAAGGACACTTGCTGTGGCTGCACGCTCCGATGCTGCTGGCGTCATTCCAGGCTCCCTGCAGGGCGAGCGCTGTGCGGTCACCGCCCTTGCCCTTCATCCTCCAGTTCACTCACACCACACCCAGTACAGGCGTTCATTTGCTCAGACAAAAGGTGATAAATAAGAACCTTCCACAGCGTGGTGGCGTTGGGCCATCATCGCAGTCACGTGGGAGACTGAGGCAGGAGGATCCTTTGAGCCCAGGAGGTCAACGCTGCAGTGAGCTCCACGGCACTCCAGCCTGGGTGACAGAGCAAGACCCTGTCTCCATTTGGAAAAAAAAAAAAAAGAGAGACTGGGCTCGGTGACTCATCGCTGTAATCCCAGCAATTTGGGAGGCCAAGGTGGGCAGATCGCCTGAGGTCGGCAGTTCGAGACCAGCTGACCAACATGGAGAAACCTGGACTGTGATAAGAACACAAAATTAGCTGGGCGTGGTGCCGCATGCCTGTAATCCTAGCTACTTGGGAGGCTGATGCCGGAGAATCACTTGAAGCTGGGAGGCAAAGGTTGCAGTGAGTCCAGAGCCGCCATGGTGCCATTGGATTCCAGCCTCAAAACCAAGTGAGACTCTGTCTCCAAAAAAAAAAAAAAAAAAAAAACAAACCCATACACTGCCGTATGTTAAATATAAAACAACAACAAAAAACCTAACCTTCATTCAAAATTCTAAGAGCAAGTACTTCCTACTTTTTTGGTTGGAAAATGACCTTTGGGTTTATTTACTTGTTTGTTTGTTTATCGAGACAGAGTCTTGCTCTGTCGCCCAGGTTAGAGTGCAGTGACACCATCTTGGCTCACTATAACCTCTGTCTCCTGGGTTCAAGCGATTCTCGTGCCTCAGCCTCTCCAGTAGCCGGGATTACAGGTGTGCACTGTGCCTGGCCAATTTTGATTTTTTTTGAATTGGAGTCTCTCCCTGTTGCTCAGACTGGAGCACAGGGGTGCAATGTCAGTTCACTGCAACGTCTGCCTCCCGGGTTCAAGGGAGTCTCCTGCCTCAGCCTCCTGAGTAGCTGGGGTTACAGGCAGCCGCCACCACATCTGGCTAATTTTTTTTGTATTTTTTTTTTTTTTTTGAGACGGAGTTTCGCTCTTGTTACCCAGGCTGGAGTGCAATGGCGCGATCTCGGCTCACCGCAACCTCCGCCTCCTGGGTTCAGGCAATTCTCCTGCCTCAGCCTCCTGAGTCGCTGGGATTACAGGCACGTGCCATCATGCCCAGCTAATTTTTTGTATTTTTAGTAGAGACGGGGTTTCACCATGTTGACCAGGATGGTCTCGATCTCTTGACCTCGTGATCCACCCGCCTCGGCCTCCCAAAGTGCTTGGATTACAGACGTGAGCCACTGCACCCAGCCTCTCCATTACATTTTAATGTTGCCACAGTAATTTTCAAAAGTTCTGGGGGGCTCACATTTCTGCCAGCAAAGTGTGAGCGCCTGTTGTGGCGAGGACTTCGTGTGCTGTTTTTGACAAAGCGGTTGTTTTGTTTCCCGGCCATGCGTGTGATTGAGCAGTTTCCTGTTACAGAATTCTCTCCATTGCCAACACTGCTTAGCGGATGTCGCTGGACTTCCGTCTGGGGATTCTTGCCCAGCCAGAAGTCCACCAGCCCTCAGCTGGAGTGCGGGAAGTGGGGGTTCTGCTGCATCTCTCCCCCTCTCGTGGGGAACCTGGGGTACAGGAACCTCAAACTAACGTGACTCACTCAGGGGAGGGTGGTGGTCGTAGGCAGCCCAGCCTGGGGCAGGGACTGGGTCACATGGAGCAGTCCCCAGCGCTGGTGCTAACCATGGCTGCCGTCTCTGCTTGACTCCAGTTGGCTGGTGGGTGCAGCCCAGCACAGCGTACCAAAATCACAGCTCAGTGGCCAGGCATTGTGACTGATGGCTGTAATCCCAGCACTTTGGGAGGCCGAGGCGGGCGGATCACAAGGTCAAGAGATCGAGACCATCCTGGCCAACATGGTGAAACCCCGTCTCTACTAAAAATACAAAAATTAGGCCAGGCATGGTGGCTCACGTCTGTAATTCCAACACTTTGGTTGGCCGAGGCAGGTGGATCACGAGGTCAGGAGTTTGAGACTAGCCTGGCCAAGATGGTGAAACTCCATCTCTACTAAAAATACAAAAAATTAGCCCGGCGCATTGGCGGGCGCCTGTAATCCCAGCTACTTGGGAGGCTGAGGCAGGAGAATCGCTTGAACACTCGAGACGGAGGTTGCAGTGAGCCAAGATCATGCCACTGCACTCCAGCCTGGTGACAGAGAGACTCCATCTCAAAAAAAAAAAAATCACTCAGCTCAGCAAAATCCACAGTCTAATCTCTGTCCCTTTAAATTGAGAACCACCTGGGATACCCCCAACCCCCCAACCGAGGCAGAGGACAGCTCAGCTGGGATTCCCAGGAGACAAAGGGTCTCTGTAAGGCTCAGCTGGGGCTTCCTTCCTCCCCGGCCAACACCCTCCACCTCTGCAGCTCTGGCCTTCAGGGGCCTGGGCCCCCAGACTCGGCATCCCCTCCCCCTGCTCAGTAAAGCCTCCCCACCCAAGCGTGTTGAAAAGGTGCAAACAGGTATAGTCCCTTCGGCCACCCCCATTTCTCTGCCCCCAGGGTCAGCCAGTGGAGCCGGTGCTGGGTCATTCCAGACGTTGGTTGCCTTTGACACACACAAATGAAACGTGTTTTTCTCCCTTTTCTACACGAGTGGTAGCTCTCTGGACACACTGCCCTGCCCATTTCCTTCAGCTGCTGCTGCACCTGGTAGACCACTTCCAAGCAGCACAGCTTCCTGTCTTTCCTGTCTGGGCCAGAGATCCGTCTCATCCCGACCCGGTATGAATGATCTGAATGTACCACCGGCTGGTGACCAGCATGTAGGCGGTGCCACACGAGTGAGCGGAGGTGAATGTGTCTGCAGGGAGAATTCAGAGGTGGAATTCCCCAGAGAAGGGCCCCTGTGGGGGTCAAGTCCAGGGGTTCTCACCAGCTCCCACATCCTCCACCTGCTGCAGGCAGCGTCTGTTGGCCAGTCCCACCTGTCAGTATAGTTTTTATTTGCCCATGTGTTAGGTGAAGGAGAAAAAAAAGTCACTTTAGTGGGATTTTCTTTTTTTTTTTTTCTTTTTCTTTTTTTTTTGGGACGGAGTTTCACTCATGTTACCCAGGCTGGAGTGCAATGGCGCGATCTCGGCTCACCGCAGCCTCCGCCTCCCGGGTTCAGGCAATTCTCCTGCCTCAGCCTCCTGAGTAGCTGGGATTACAGGCACGCGCCATCATGCCCAGCTAATTTTTTGTATTTTTAGTAGAGACGGGGTTTCACCATGTTGACCAGGATGGTCTCGATCTCTTGACCTCGTGATCCACCCGCCTTGGCCTCCCAAAGTGCTGGGATTACAGGCTTGAGCCACCGCGCCCGGCCTTTTTTTTTTTTTTTTTTTTTTAACTCTTTTGCCATCAATCACATCCTGGGAAGGACCCTTTTGTTTTGCTTGTCGGTTTATCGTTGTTTTTGAGATGGAGTCTCGCCCAGGCTGGAGTGCCGTGACCCGAGATCACCGCTTACGGCAACCTCTGCCCCCCGATTCTCAGGCCTCAGCCTCCCAGGGAGCTGGAACGGTTTTTAACAGGCATTTCTGCGCTGAGGGAGGGTATCCGCGGATCCCGGGCAGCTGTCCTCGCGTGTTTCGTTCGGGAGCGTTGGCACGGTCGTTTAAGGTGAGCTCTGCGATGTGAGCTGCAGGCTGTGCCCCCGTCTCCCAGTGGGGGCTCGTCTTTTCGACCTCGCTCATGCAGTTTTGCTCTGCAGACGTCCCCCCACCCACGACGGAGTGGGTTCCGCGCCACACTTGGAAAAGCCGCCTCGTCCCCAAGATGGAAACAGCTTCCCCGAGTTTTCTTCCAGGTTTCATCGCTTCCTTTTTTAGGCTTAAATCTTGACGGTGGGAATCCATCCCTGTGTAAGCGCCGCGCACGCGTGTGAACGGCCCCCGCGGGCGGGTGCCACAGTCCCTGGCACAGCAGCCTTCTGGTCTGGGCGTCGCGCGTGGATCTCACGCGCACCTGCGGCGGCTCTGCGGCGTGAGGGTGGGGAGGCCGGCCCGGGGGTGCCGGTGCTGAGGCGCCTGGCTCAGGCCCACGCGCGCGGGGAAGGGCAGGGCAGGGCGCGGGCCCCCCTCGGTCCGGGCGGAGGTCGGAGCCTCTGCGCCCCGCGGGCTCCCCGCGCCCGCTACGGAGGTCCCGGCTGAGCGGGGCTGGGACTCGGCCACCTGGCGCGGAAGCCTCGGGACAATGTCCTGCGTGTCCCCATCGCGTCCCGCGCGCCCCCTCCGCGCCCCCCGACCCTGCACGTCCCACGTGACCTCGCCCCGCTCCCAGCGTCCGCGCCCCGGTTCCCGGCGGGGCCTTCGGGGCGGGGCCTGAGGGCGGAAGTGCCCGGGGCGACCGCGGCGGGGACCGGCCGGGCCATGGGCGCCGGGGGCAGAGGCGGCGGCGGCGGCGGAGGCTGCCAGGGCGGCGGCGGGGGCTGGCAGCGCGGGACGCGGGCCGCGTAGCGCCGGGCGGAGCGCGGAGCCATGGGCCGGGCTGGCACCGGGACCTGGGGCGAGGCGGTGGCGGCAGTGGTGGCGGGGCCGCTGCTGCTGCTGCTGCTCGCCCGGCCCCCGCCTTCCGCCGCCGGCGACAGCAGGAAGAGCGGTGAGCGAGCGGCGTGGGCGGTCATCGGGGGCGCGGGGCAGTCATGGGGGCGCGGGGCCGCCTTCGGGGGCGCGGGGCGGTCACCATGGGCGCCGGGCCGCCATTGGGGCCGGGGGCCCATCAGGGGCTAGGGCGGGCGGGGCGGGATTGTGACTCTCCCGGGCGCACCTGTGCGCTCACCTGGCGCAGGCGCAGGGCGGGAGTTTGGGGCTCAGGGTGGCCCTTTGCGGCGCTTAGTGTCCGAGGGGCCGAGGCGGACGGGACCCTCAGTCCCCCGAACCCGGTTCGACCACGTCGGCCCCTTGGAGCGCCCTCTGCCCTCCCTCCTCCTTGCAAAACGCTCAGGTCCAGAGCGCCCGCCGTGCTCTGGGCAGGGAAGTGGAGGGGCCGGGGGACTCTGCCCCGGACTCCAGCTGGGAGGGAGGAGTGGCTGGGCTGGGAGCTCCGCGGCCCGGTCCGGCCTGGGGAGGGCCAGCGCCCGGAGAAAGTTGTTAGACCCTGGAGCGGGGTCCGGGGACATCATGGCTCCCACAGTGAGCACCAGCCCTGATGCAGCCGCTTCCACAGCCGGCCTTGCTTCTGGGAGGAGGGACTCGCAGCTGGCAGAGGAGCCTGGTGGTCCGGGGCACTGAGGGGGACTGGGCGCCCCTCTCCCCTCTTGTTCAGAAACTTGCCGGACTGCCTTTGGATTTCTGTTCCCTGAGGGTCCCGGTCCCTGACTGCGGTCCCACGGGGAGAAGGTGTTTCCCTTCAGGGTCTCCGCAGGCTAGGGGCGCGGGTGTGGAGCCCACCCGGAGATGGTGAGGACTTGCCCTGGCTTCTGTGGCCTGGGGCTCCCGACGGCCGTGTGGGCCGAGTCCTTGCCAGGCAGCTGGAGGGGCTAACACGTCCGGTGCCCGGCAGCTGATCCTTGCTGTTCCCCAACTTCCCGGCCCCCACCCCCTCCCCTTCCCTGAAATACTGCTCCTTTGAGCTCCTGTTTCTTTTGGGGGCTGTGCCTCCTGATTTCTGAGCGTGGCACATCTAGAGATGAAAGGCGGCTTTCCCCGAGGACCGTGTCCCCGATTAAATGGCTCCGTGGTGCCGGGCGCGGTGGCGCCTGCCTGTGGTCCCAGCTACTCGGGAGGCTGCGGTGGGAGGATCGCTTGAGTCTGGGAGTTCCGGGCTGTAGTGCGCTATGCCGTTTGGGTGTCCGCCCTAAGTTCAGCATCAATATGGTGACCTCCCGGGAGCGGGGGACCACCAGGTCGCCTAAGGAGGGGCGAACCGGCCCAGGTTGGAAACAGAGCAGGTCAAAACTCCCGTGCTGATCAGTAGTGGGATCGCGCCTGTGAATAGCCACTGCACTCCTGCCTGGGCAAGGTAGCGAGACCCTGTCTCTAAAAAAAAAAAAAAATAGATAGATATAAAAATAAATAAATACGCCGGGCATGGTGGCTCACGCCTGTAATCCAAGCACTTTGGAGGCCAAGGCGGGCGGATCACCTGAGGTCGGGAATTCAAGACCGACCTGACCAACATGGTGAAACCCTGTCTTTAACTAAAATAAATAAACAAAATACATACATACATACATAAATGGCTCCATGACGGGCTCAATGCTCACGCCTAACCCCAGCACTTTTGGAGGCCAAGGCAGGAGGATCCCTCCAGCCCAGGAGACTGGTCTGGGCAACAAAGGGAGACCCCGTCTCTATAAAAATTCAGCTGGGTATGGTAGTACACGCCTTCGGTTCCAGTACGTGGGAGGCTGAGGCTGCAGTGAGCATGTTCATGGCATTGCACTCTAGCCTGGGTGACAGTGAGACCCTCAAAAAAACCTTACTCCAGGAGGCTGAGGCAGGAGAATTGCCTGAACCCAGGAGGCGGAGGTTGCACTCCAGCCTGGGCAACAAGAGCGAAACTCTGTCTCAAAAAAAAACCTTACTCCATTGGAAGATGGCAAAGGAAATTCTCCTCTGTCCCAGAGCTCAGGCCTGGTGAAGGTCCCTGGGAGATGGAACGCCTGGGTGTGGGCAGTGGAGAGGCCTGGCGGGCTGGCTGAGCCCCTCAGCTCCTCCCAGCCTGCTGAGGAGCAACAGCTCTGTGCCCCTGGTTTCTGGCTCTGTGGGTGGTCGGGGTTTCCCATGGGTGCCTGTCCTGGTTTGGAGGATATGGGAGACGCCCTCCTTCACTCAGGTTCCCAGGACAGGCTCAGGGACTTTCACTCCCCGCTTTCCCACCCGGCCCTGTGTCCGTGGAGGGGCTGTGGGGCAGGCAGGGGGATGTGTAGCTGGCTCTCCTCGCCCTGTGGTCACTTCGGGCTCAGAGCACCACTAACAGCCCGGAACGTGTGGGTGTCTCGAGCAAGGAGCTTGGGCTGAGAGCCCTGGGAGAGACCTGGAGGCGCTGTGAGCCCTGGGAGTTGGGGACTGGGTGTCAGGACAAGCTTGAGCAGATCTCTCATCTCTGTGCACCTGCTGAAACTTCACAGCCACCAGCTGGGTTCTAGGTGTCCTCAGGCTGGTGCTTCAGGGCCAGAGAGTCCCAGGGCTTTGCTCCAGCTGGGCCAGGAGCTTCAAGCTGCAGGTGGCCTCCCTTGCCTGCCCCCACCCCCCGAGGCCGGCCGTCTCTCCAGGAAACCGTGGTCCTTGGGGGTAGCCCTGCTTCAGTTCCCAGCACTGGAGCGTTACCTGCCCACATTATCAGGCCACAGCCGGGTGGGTGGGACCTGGGGGCAAGCCGACACCTGGAAGGCCTGAAATGCATTGTGGGTGTCGCCTGCCCCTGCCCAGCCCCCACACCAGGCTCCCCTGAAGCTTCGCCTGGCTTTGCCAACAGGCTGCTTTTGGCAGTGTATTGTTTCTTCAGGTGTCTCTGTGGGAGCGTGACAAGGCTGGCAGCAGAGCCCAAGGTTCACCTGTCTTCCTCCTCAGGAGGGGCCTGGACCTGGCCTGGCCACTCTCCCGGCAAGACGGAGGGAGGCTTCTGAGTCTGCCAGATGGGGAGCTGCGACTGAAGGGGAGGAGGCCTCACCCTGCCGTGTCCACTGTGCTTTTCTTCCTGAAGCTTTGGTCATTCATTAACCTCTGAGGGAGGGGCCCTCCACCCTGGCCTTCCCAGGAGGAAGCTGGGACCCAGGGAGGGAAGGATGCTTAAAGTCACTAAGGCATGAGGCTAGGGCTGGCCCCAGGCTGGGGGTGAGAGCCTAGGGGTCCTCCCCTGGGGCCATGGGCAGGCTGTCTCCCACGGGTCCTCACCTGGGGCCACGGGCAGGGTGTCTCCTACGGGTCCTCGCCTGGGGCCACGGGCAGG